CCTGCGCGGCGTGCCCCCTCCAGACCTGCCCGTCCCGGAGCAGCGCCCACCTGTTGCGGGGCTTGCGGGGGTTGTTTGCTGCCTTGTTTGGACCCCCCCTTTGGTGCGCGGGGTTTGGGGTGCCTGGCACGGCGGAAGAGCGCGGGGCTCAGCGGGAGGGGGCCGTCGCCCGAGGAGGAAGGGGCCGAAGTGAAGTTGGAGGTGTGGAGGCCGCAGGATTTGGAGGGGGAGGCTGGCAGGGCCCTCCACCTCCAACTCACGTAGTCCTGCCTGAGGCAGGAGCTGCCCTATCCAAACCGGGGGGTGCTTATCTCGAAAATACCGCTTGCTGGGGCCTCGGGAGTGGGAGAAACATTTTTGGACGTTTGATTTATTTGTGAATGAAGGACGTGAGTGATCTGATCTGCCCCCCAAGACAAACGATTTTGTTCCCGGACAGGGAATCTCGATGCCCCTTGTTTCTCTCGAGTGGGGGCATGAAGTGGTCAAGCGGGGGAGCTTTGGAAAGGGAAGGTCGTCCATGAGACCCATGTTGAATTTAGAAAACAAAGGCAATGCCTTATGCGTCCATACGCACACTCATTGGTTTTTAAGAGTGTGCCTAGATTAGGGTTGAAAGAGAGGAGCCCTGCTGCAGCACTAGGTAGGTGTTAGTAGGCAAACTGGTATGAAGAGGAGGGCTGCGTAGGGGTTTTACTCTCTTTACGTTTGTCAGATTGAGTTGCTCTTTGGAAATTGAAAGCAGCTTACCTTGCTTCCAAAGAAAGTTCCCTCTGCTTCAGAGGCCTGTGTGTGGAATAGGGAACAACATTTGACTCGCTGAAAAGGGCCCTTGGCTGTGTATTGAGATCAATATTGTGAACTTAAAATAATAAAGCTGTGGTTTTTATATTCGATACAGAAGACGCCATATAGTTATCAACCTATTTGCCTAAAGGGAAAATAGGTCCTCTAATGAATACATGAAAGAAACACACATTTGTTTGTTCTCCATATCCCTCCCACTGTTACTGGTGCTGTTTTAGTGAGTCTGGGGGAATAAGGTTTTCGTGCTGTTGGCTGGCTGAATGGTGTTATTTTTACATGCAAGAAAATCAGTCTTGCAGAATTCTCATGGACATTTACCCACCTAGACACAGGTTGGTAAATCCACCCTCTGCTGTAAACTCGATAATTGAAGAAGAGTTAAGATATTTTACTTACTTTGCTCAAATTTAAAAAAAATCCTCTCCCCCTGAGAACCCCTTGAAAAGGCTTCCCTAAAATGCTTATTTGTAATAATCAATATAACTGAGACTACTGTATGCTTATGTTTACCTATGAGTATCTTCTTAGCTTGCTGTTTGCATATCTGTTTAATTATTTTTATGTATTAGTACAGGACTAGACTTACTCATGTTTTCAGATTAGATTTTCCTGGCTCAGGAAGATTCCTGTAATGCACTTAATTAAATTACATATGATTTTTAATAAAAGTCTACAATAGTAGTTGCAATAGGAGAGAGAGAGGAGTTTTGCACGGATAAATAATTGTTGAATGCCCCAGTTGAGAAATATAGAGCAACTTTAGTCGTTATTGAGATTTATAGAAGAATATTAAAAACAAATAATTTAATGAGCAAAAACAGCTTTAACTGTTGCATTTAGTGTATTGGACTGTGATTATCTGGTGTATCTCAAAGTAATCAGTTCAACCTTTTTATGGTGTTTAGAGGCTGCTAACTTTTAAAGGAATGTTTCTTTCCATATAAGAAGAATTTATTTTTTCACTTTTATGTTCGCTATTCTGTATACGTCTTCAACATAACACTGAAAATTTGTGCACAATGACCCGTATCTATTACTAACTTCTTTTGTGTCTTCATGTTAATTGTTTAGAATCAAGTTGCATAAATATATATATAAACATATTTTCTGTATCCCTCAGACTGGCTCTGTAAATTTGGATTACAATCAAAATTGAATTTAGGTAACATGTATGCTTTGCACTTAGGACTTTGTGTCAGATGCCACTACTTGCCTTCATTTTCTCATTTTATAAAATATGGTTATTGCTTGCCAGTCATATATGCATGTTTTGAAGCTTGAGACTCCAATTCTGTAAACAGAAATTTTTGAACCAGGTATTTTATTCCTAAAATTTACTGAAGATAAGCAAGTTCCATAATACTTCAGTAAGTTATTTGTGTCTTAACCATTAAAACTCAATGCAAACCTCTTGAAATAAGCTTAATGAATTGTCAAAACTTAATACACAGCTCCATGGATCATTAGTGCTCTGTACTGAAGGACTATAAGAATTAATTTTCCCACTTTAATATATGGGAAAATAAGAAGCCAAATGAATTGTTAATCGTGTTGAAGCTGATGAAAATCTGTCATTGATATCAATGTGGTATCACCCAGAATGGTGCCCAAGTCATGCAACAAAAGATGGAGAGAGTCAAGTTGTGAACATTGACGTTCTGATTTCAAGTCCTTCATTCTGTCGGTTACTCTGCAACCCTTGGATGCCATTTTTAACAAAATGATAGACTTGTGGCTTTAAAATAAGCTGTTGAGATATGTAATACCATATGAATTTTGAGTCTTTTCAAGTTATTTAAAGTTATTCAAAACCTAGGTGTGTTCTACTTTTTATGCCATAATTTTGAATAATGAAACACAGCGCTTTACTATCAAAGTCGAATGTTCTTAACTTATCCTTCCTTTTTAGACGCTGAATTTGTTTTGTGAAGCTTGCAAGAAAGTCACGTTTAATGTTCCTTCTACGCTAGAGGCTGAGACATTAATTGGCAGAGGTGAGAAACTAAAAGATACCTTTCAGTACTGTGCTGTCTTAAAAAAGGCTACAGAAAGGAAAGGGAGACTAATTGGTTTTGTAATGCAATTTGAGCCTCAAACAACCAGATAATGCAAATCAGCAATGCAATTATGCTTATTACAGATTTTAACAGTGGGCACCATAATACATATGCATTTGAACTGATATCCAGTTATAGGCAAGACTTCTTGGATTTTTTGTGGGGTTTTTTTGTTAAGATGTAATGGCAGAGGTTTAGACTGTTTCAAATTTGTGTACCCAAATTTGTGTATTTAAAAGACTTCTAAATATGGAACCACATTTTCAGTAGTGCCATATACCCACAACCAGCATAGAAGGGGTCAGTTTTCTGTTGTAGTTCTTGTGGACTACAAACAATGTACTAAAATGCTCAGAAACTTTTCCTGTAACGCTGACGTGCATTAGCAGCGAAACAATAAAGATCGCATTAAGAACCATGACTTGAAGCCTTCAGTGCAGATGGAGAAAGGAGTTGCAAGTATGTCCTTTGGACTCCCCCTGGTGCTGCTTTGTGCTAACCCAACACAAAGTAGAGCAGTTGTGACATGCGGGAAGTATAGAAGCCCCCAAGCCCTCCTTTTCTAGATCAGTTGTCTTATGACAGATAAAGAACAAGAGTTCAATCTCCAGGGTTAGGTTAAGGGAGAAGGTTGGTTTAGGAAGAAAAAAAAATGAGGTTGGATGTTGTTTTTTTTTAATCCCAATCTACTGAGTGTTGATTTATAAAGCTCTTTGGAAGCAAGGGTGAATAAGAACAATGTTTTTAAGGATTTAACTTATTATCAGTATTATGATGGCAATGAGATCCAGCTTATTACTATAATTTTGTATATAGGCAGGGATTTAACTAACTTTAATTTTCATTCAGAATAATTCATCTCGACTCACTTTCATTTGGGAAAAATATTTCAGCAAGCTTTAAAAATAATATTGAATAGAAGAATTACATACAGCACTTGTGCACCAACATTTAACCATGCCAGTGTATTCCAACTGCTATTTCTTAAAGTTTTGTTGAGGAAGAATGTGATTTTTGTACTGATAAATTTGTAATAGTAAAATAAGTTTAAAAAAATTCCCCGTAATTGCCAGATTTGAATATATGGTTTTAATATATGCAGAATATGAGTAAAACTGTGAAAAGACTAGATTGTGCAACACTGACTGAGAAGTAGGATCTATATTCAGGTGTTTTGGAAATATTATGCTGTTAGAGTTCCACAGTGACTCTCAGTGTAGGTGGGGATTCCATAGTCTCTTGAACACTGGAAACAAATTGTTTTTATGCAGAGTTAAAAGGAAGACATGTTGCCTGAGAAGATCTATCTCAACATTTATCTGAGTACAGAGGAGTGAGAATATGTTTTTAATAAGAAAAATGAAAATATTTTTCTCTAGGTATTTAAACTTTGGAAATTAGAAGATGAAATTTGGTGTTTCAGAATATTGTCCCCCTTATCATCTGCATGCATTGGTTGAAGTCCACTAGAATCAGTGCCTTGTGGAGGAATTGTTAATGCACAATTTATGTATGTTTTTGACAAAAGAAGTATATAGACTTGGACACAGAAAAAATATTGGTTCAGTTTTTGATGCTTGTTATATCGTAGTTGTAGGTTTAACTGTACTTTGACCCACTTACAGCTTCCTCGTCTCACCTAGGTCTTAGGCCGCTAGCTGTTCTCTTTCTCAGGGTAGGAACCTGGGTTTGAAAACCTAGGTTCCTTTCCTTCCAAAGCAGAAAGCGTTAGGTTCCCTTGTAATTCATTGTGACTGCTGAATTTAGTTCAGCACCTGTAGGTCCTCCAGTCTCTCAGGAACAATGAAAGAATTAACCAGTGTCCAGCCAGTTTTACTAAAGCACAGTAAAAAGAAAAATATATATTATAAAAAGTCTACAAATATGTTTAAGTTTATTTTGTTTTGCCAGCCATCTGCATGGTATCCTGGTAAATGTAATTTTTTGTCGGTTACTTACTCCAGTGTCAGTTTTTGTCTCTCGATTGAGATCTCTATGCAGTTTTCGGAATCTTTTTCCGTCTCTCAAGCTGAAAATACAAGGATAGTGCTAATAATTATTGATACAATTAGTGTATGAATACTCCATGTGCCCATCTATCACATCTTTAGGCATGGACAGATGTGGTAGTTACACCACTGCCATCTGTAATGTCTTGCTGTTTGGGGGGGGGGCGTTGAAGTTGTTTATAGATTATGGAAACACCTAAGGTAATATGACTTTGCTCAATGTGTTGGAGAATTACCGAACAGAATTACTGATAAGTAATAAGGGTTTAGATTTTATCTGTCAGCCGCTAATATGTGGCAGCCATTTGCTGGAATCGAATAAGATACTCCTGCTCCACTGTCTCCTAGTGGTGAAACACCATAATAGCATATTTGCAGCATACAAACAGATTAAACTGTACTGGATATGTGTATGTCTATCCATGCCTTCACTAGACTGTTTGTAATAATTCTTGATGTTTTAATGCTTTCAGACCATCAACATCGTAGGCTTTGTAATCTCTGGGAAATGGCTAAATGTGCCTGATAAAAGAATGATGGCAAAATGTCTGTAAACATGGTCTAACCTTAGTGCCTGAAGTTGGGCTGCAGAATCCACATGAAGACAGTTAAATAAGAATAGCCTGCTTTTTCAGAGGCACATATTGATTTAAATGGACCAATCATATTTAAGTGTATAAATATAAACTCATATTTAAGCTTGAAAATGTTTGCCGTAGTCTTTTGGTTATCACGTTGACCAAGTTATTCTTTGAAATTCCTTTCTTACAGTAAATTTGGAAGAGTGCCTAAAGTCTGCAGAAGCTATCAGCTCAAGTGATTCAAACTTCAGAATTTTAGAAGATGGTTCTGTGTATACAACAAATATCACTACTTTGTCTGCTGAGAAAAAAGCTTTTGCCATATTGCTCGAGAATATCCAAACACGTGAACAAAAGACGATACATGTTAATTTGCTATCAGATCAAAGAGAGGTAGGTTATTATTTTTTCAGATGTTTTACTTTGGAAACTGCCTTTCACAGTACTGCTTCTTGTTGGGTAAATCTAGTTGTTTGCAAATACCAAAATTATCTCACAGAGCTGTTATATAGACTGGCTACTTTTATTTAACAGTACTCAGTGCATTAGTTATCATTTCCTGAAGTGGCAAGGAATGGAAATTAGCTTTATCGAGAATGTTGAGGTTTCAGGAAAGCAACATATGAGAAAGCAAGACTAATGAACACACTGTTAGTTGGAATTACTAAAATTCCTAATTTTTGCATAGGACCAAATAATTCTAGTGGTGCCATGACTAGGCTGCAACATGAAAACAAAGATTTTTTTGAAATACCTTTAGAAGATTTTGAGAGGAAAAGAGAACCCATACAGGATATAGAAAACAAGGAGCTCTAACCAGGCCAGAAATGTAGAGGTTGATCCTAATTTCTCTCTTTATGTCTAAATCCAGGAACATAAGGCCAGACATGCTAGAGATACAGTCCTACGGCGAACAAAAAGGATGTGGAGTCCCATCCCATCCCATGTGATGGAAAATGCACTTGGACCTTATCCACTACAAATTCAACAGGTATATTTTACTTACCAGCTGATTTTATGATGTACAAATCAGGCAAGAAAGTAGTTTACAATATTAAAGGTCCATAATGCCTAATTTTTCTGAAAGATTTCATAAGGTTAATTATGGTCCATTGAACAAATACATTGATAAAGGCTTTCCAAACATTGTGTATTTGAGGTTGAGATAGAAGAGATGGGTTTTATTCCTAAGTCTCAGTCCAGTACTTTTTTCCTTTTTCCAAGTCTTTCATCGTCTGTCTCTTTTATTGTCTATCTTGAAGTCCTGAAGCCCAAGTGGCATGTAATCTTGTACAGTAAAATCCCTGTTATACGGCATGAGTAGGGAATGGGGGGATGCCAGTTACATGAGGCATAGGGGTTTCTGGCTGGATGTGGAGTTGTGGTGCTGGGGCAGGGTGGGGAGTTACTGGTTGCATGCAGAGTGGCAGCAGCGCAGGGTGGTGGTGGCAGCTGCCATGTGTGAGCTTCACCCCCCCCCACGTCCAACCGTCCATCTCGAAATTCTGGTTAATAGAGTGTTTCGGTTACTCAAAGGTCAGATGCCAAATAACAGGGATTTTACTGTAATTGGCCATGTATAAAGGTTTGTTTCTAGTGGTGGAAAACTTGCATTGCTAGAAATTATTTAGGGAGTGAGATCAGTACAGGTGTTCAGTTTGCAGCTGCCCCTTTTCCCCTGCTCCTTGCACCTTCCCATGATTGGGGAAAGTGTAGGCCACTCCTCCTCCTGTTTTCAGGGGGACTGGAGCACTGGGGCAAAGTCTGCTGCCAGGCTCTCACACCAGGGCCTCCAGAGTGAGAAATGGGCAGCACTGCTGTCTTTGCTTGGCTCTTGGATGCTGGCTGAGTAGACTGAGCCCTGTGGAAGAGCCTCTGCCCATTCTAAACACTTAGGATTCCTTCTTGTACAAGGTGCTGGTGGTAGCTTTACCCTGCTACCCTGGGGAGAGCCTCCCTAAGTGTGGTTTCCAGCCCTTACAGCTTCCTTTTGCTGCCTGTACCACCCAATTGGCCACTAGGGGTGGCAGTTAAGTCAGTGAAGCTGGGAACTGGGCCACCTACTGACTTTTAAATTACTGCCTTGTGAGTCAAGGGGGAGCCACCTGGGCCAAGAACTGGACTTTGGGAAACTTCCCCCAAGACCATTTCCTGGCTCCACCAGCCTCCTAGTTGGGTAGTGCGAGTGAAAATGGGAAGCCAGAGGAGGCCAGCAAAGCCCCTCACCTGTTTCCAAAACTGGGGATTGCCCAGTTTGGGGAAGGTACAGGATGTAGTGCCTGCCACTCACCTCCTCGCTGGGACTGGCAAAGCTCCCAGCCTGTTTCTCACTCTGGGGACTCAGGTGTGAGTAAAAGGTAGAAGGCTTGTGGCACTGCTGCTCCCCAGTGTGTGAGGAGCTGGCAGGGAGCAGTTGGGTGGCCCTTCCCTGTGACTCCACTCGTCCTGGAGGAGTGAAGCCAGAGAAATGTTCATTCTTGCAGGAGAAACTCTCCTGAGACTGACTTCTACTTGGTTGCAGCTAGCTTATTTTTCATCTGGAAACTGGAATTGCCACTTTTTGTTCTGGGAAAAAGTAAATATAAGTATACTTTTTGTTTCTATTGGGAGAACAGAATTTTTTTTTTCTAGAAGAAACTGAACATATGTACCCGGCCATTTAATCGCTGCAAACCAGAGACATTAATTAAGTCACCCATTTTGTAAAAAGAAAAGAATGACATTAACAGGCCTTGCTCCATGAGGATTGTGAAGTACACAGTTACTAATATCAGTCCTCCCCTGAACAACTTTTCTTAGGCTGATGAGAGGAAATACTGCTACAATGCATATTGCCCAAGTTGTATGTCTCCTGATTGAATGTGGTCTAGGAACACACTCAATACAGCTACTATACAGAAACCCTGTGAAGCTTGAGTATGATTTTTGTGATTTTGGAAATGTTAACATATTGCCTCTGAAGGTCTACTGAGCATTTGCAAAAGCTAACATTTAGAGTTGAGGTATGCAACCCCCGGCACGGGTGCCAGAGTATGGTATGCAGAGGCATTTTGCTTAGCATGTGCACCCTTGGGGTGCACAGTGGGGAAGGGAACAGGGCTGAGCTGCCACAACAAGGATCAGGTGCCTCTGACATCCGCTTCTGGCACACCAACATCGAGGTTGGGCACTCTGCCCAAAAACATTGCTGACCCCTGATTTAGAGACTTATAATTCAGCCAGCCAACATTTTTAAAATAATTTTTGATGCTAACAAGAAGCAGGTCTTTGGTCCCAGGGGTTTCCCCCTTTCAACTCTCAAGTTTCTTCTAAAAAAGAAAAAGTAAAAAACAAAAAAAAGGCATTGTATTTTAAAGAAATAGTTGGAAGAGTTAAATTAGCAACATGATCCATTTCCAGTTATGAACCAATGAATAATGAGTTTATGATGAAAAGTTGAACAACTTTTACTCTGTCAGACAGATCTTTCTATGACCATGCTGAAAACAAGTAATTATAGAATTGAAAATGCATACCTACCTCCCTGCCCAAGATCTTCACTCTGTACTGGACTTTCTACCAGCGGGGCTTGACATGGAGGCCTGTGCTGGTGAATAGTTTAGTCCTAGGAATGCAAAGTGTAAATATTTATTATGATTTTCCATGTAGAAGCTAACTATTCAAGGGTTATCTTAAATTTGTCCTGTTTCACTTCTCCTCCCTACACCACTTGCTCCTCCCACCCAGTGCTTACCCCCTGCTGCCTGTTCTCCCTGGCCACTTGACACTACCCCCTCTCCAACACCTGCCAGTTGCTTCACTCTGGTGTCTCCCCCTCTGTTGCCTCCTCCCTTCATCCTCTGATCCCCCACCTCTCTCATGGACACATGCTATAAAGGAAGTTAAAACTAATATAAGACTAAGAAGTGAATTTTTACACCTCCTTTCTGAAGTGTTCCTACATGTTCTGTTTAAATGTGAGAGCTTAATGAAAAAAAATTATGATAAAAAGGTATTTACTAACAATATCTTTTCCTATGCAAAAAATGCACTGTGTATAGATCCAGTCTGATAAAGCTCAGTACCACAAAATTTATTATTCAGCAAGGGGAGCTGGAGTTAATGAAGAGCCAAAGGGTTTGTTTTACGTAGAGGCAGAAACTGGGAATATCTTCGTTACACGTGCAATAGATCGTGAACAGTATCCATCGTTTCAGGTAGGGGACTAAATGGTATGTACAAGTAAATGGGTTAATATTTTTGCTTTTGTTGCTTTTTTGTTTCCAGACAACTATCCCAAATGGTAGGTGATATTTTGGAGTTCCTGAGCAGAAATTAATGATGCAATGGAAGAGACTTAAAAGTCTAAAGCAAGTCTATCCAGCTTTTAAGCATCCAGGGGTCATGTGCCCTAGGGCAGTGGTTCTCACTGTTTTTTGTACCAGGAACCATTTGTAAACATTGATGGCCAATCTCGACCCAGTGCCCCTCACTCCTGACCCTCTTCCCCCTCATCCCACAGTTCCCAGTCCTGAGTGTGTGGGGCAGGGAGTGGGTGTGTGGGGCAGGAGGGCCCTAAGCAGCTCCTTGCAGGTTGGAACTCTGCCAGCCTGCAAGGGAAAACCCATGGTTTTCCACATTTTTGTCCGTTAAAAGAGAATCCGTTTTTTAAAGTTTATCACGACCCTTTCGTATATTCTTGTGACCCACAGGTTGAAAAATGCTGCCCTAGGGGCCACACCATCACCAGCTGCACCAGTGCAAGCTATGGGCCCCATAACCACATGGCACATGGGTGCTCCCTCACTCCCTGTTGCTCCACAGGTGCCTGAACCCCACCTTCAGTTCCCTGGCTGCAGATTCTCCTGCTGCACAGTGCTACAGAGGTATCCTGGGCTGTGGGCTCCTCTGGCGCCATGGTCTGTCTAACTCCACTGCCGCGGCACCTGGGGACACAGAAGGAATGGGAAGCCTGGGACTCCTGGCTGCTGCTGCAGCTGGAGCAATAGGGGAGAAGTGGTCAGGTGGGAACCCAGGGGCTGCAAGTGAGCTGCTCATGGGCCTAGTGGCCACAGGCTGCTAGTTGGAAAGGCCTGTTCTGAAGCAGTGGTTCTAACCAAGGATACCACGAAATCCTTTAAAAGGTGCATTGAGATTTGAGGAGTTAAGTGCTCACTTGACCCCCACCTGGCCTCAGGGCAAAGAGAGAAGAACTTGCTGTTAATTCTTCTTTTCCCCCTGCCCCTAATGCCTGTTGGGCTGGTGTGCAAGGATGTAAGCATTGTAATAAATAAATTCATTTTTAATTGGGGGTGCTACTAAATTCAGACAAATTATGGAATGGCACATTGGAGCTAAAGAGGTAGAGGACTATCGGTTTAAAGAGTGGCTTGTAAGACCAGTTTTATTAACCAATGTCTAATTTTGACAGTGTGTGTTAGAGGGAATCCTCATTCTGAGTTTCTGGGGACTGAATTGAAAAAGACCACATAAAATGCAAATTATACCAAAGTCTAAGATAACCAAGACTTCTGCATTAATTGAACAATACTTTCTTGTGCTATTTAGCTTTAATATTTGTTAGCTGGATTCATTTCTCTCTCTGTTGGCTGAAGCTGAGGAAAGGCAGGTGGTAGAAGAAAACTGATTTGTTTCTAAAAGGAAGTACTAGTATCCTTTTATTTTCCTATACTATTGGAAAATATTGTTTTTTTTCATTAGGGAGCTAAGATTTTGCGATATTGTATTAGACATTCATTCTATAGTAAAATCTGATTGATTTGTCACTCCAAGGGGACTGGTAATGATAACTAATTTTCCCCAAGTGACTAATTATTAGTAATTTCTACTTTGTGAGATGCATTTTGTACCCTATGATAAAACATAGTAAAGAACATTTTTACATGTATAATTAAAATATATATATATTACAAAATTCCAAGTACAAATTGTACACTCTGAGATTTGTCTGATAAACATTTAATGTATAACTTATTACAAAAATTCAGAGTAATTACTGTAAGAATAGCTCATTGTTATTGCTGTTCATATTGAGCCGTAAGCAGTCAACACTGCACTGTATAACTTAGTGTGACTACTCAAAAGAGAGGTTTACTCAAATCTGCAACATGTTCCCTGCAAGATGCAGGACGTTCTGGGAAACCAACAGGTTGGTAATTTTTAAGTCAGTGAACTATCAGGAGCAAATTCCATTGCAACTTAGGAGGTGTATACATATAGAAAGGATAAATTATGCTTTAACCAATTATAAATTAAATGAAGAGTTTTGTGTTCAAATCATAGGACTCTGACAGAAATTCAGGGCATCAAGAAATAAACCCATAATGATGAATTATGCTCAATTACTCCAGTAACAAATTAACCGGATGTGACTGTACCCTGCTTCCCCCCTCCCCTCAACTTGTTTCCCAGTGAATTTGCCCCCTCCATTTCTACTTTGGGATTTGATTTGCTAGACTGATGCCTTAATGGAAAAGAAAATGGACCCAGGTGATCAAGTGCCAACTGTCATTTCTTTTCCACCTCCTACCTCAGTCACATATAAACAAAAGAGTACAAGAATCTCTCACATTGTGTTTGGGTATCACTCTGTACACTACGGAAAATAAATGTTGAGTTTTGGGGAGCATCTAGATGAGCATGAATGTGTGGTATGTGGAGACATATTTGCAGTGCCACACACCACACATGAAAGCATTCCCCATGCTGCTACCTTCTAGTACAGGGGTTATTTTTGACCCCAGAAGATCCTGGGGTCAAAACACCTACACCAAAAAAAAAAAAAGTGGGTCGGTGCACATGGTGGCAGTGTGTGCCACCCAAAACTGGAGCCTGGTTGGCTGGAATCAAGCTGTGGCTGTTAGCCAGGTTCCCTGCTGCAGGACTGCCATGGCTGCAGCTCTCTGAGGACCTCGGAACCCTAGGTAAGGCTACTGGGGCTAGTATAGTTGCTGGCTCCAACCTCCCTTACCCCACCCAGCGGTGCTGCTATTGTCCCTGGGGAAACGCATGTCCATACTCATCTGGATGTGCCCCTGTTATCTTTTTGGGGGAAAAAACCAACTCAAGCAAGTCATATCAAACCTTAGCTCTTCTCTTTTGAGCACTAGTGCTGCTGTGACAGAGGTTAGAACCCCACCGTAATTTTGTCTGGCACACAGATGCCAGCTAATGTTTCTTCAGATGGTGAAGAGTAGGGTGTATCAGGAAATGAACTTGTGGGATTGTACAAGGATCCCACTGGCAGAGATTTGTAGAACTGCCAGGAACATCTGCCCCTGAAACTTGCAGGCGAACCAGCTTCAGATGGGTCTCTGGCTGCCTATACACAAGCTCATTCATGTTCTAATTAGAATGTGTCTGAGTAGACTTGATTAATCGAGTCTGCTCTGCATTCTAATTAGAATGCTTCAGCATCGCTTCACCGTCACCTATATTAAGCCCCTGCGTTTTCGACTTGGAGGGATGTGGGCAGTGGGGTTCCACAGGGCTCAGTCCTCGGGCCCGCACTGTTCAATATCTTCATCAGCGACTTGGACGAGGGAGTAAATAGCACTCTGTTCAAATTTGCTGATGACACTAAGGTGTGGGGGGATGTGCGCATGCTAGAAGGGAGGAATAGGCTGCAATCGGACCTAGACAGGTTACAGGGGTGGGCAGATGAGAATAGGATGGGATTCAACACCGACAAGTGCAAAGTAATGCACCTGGGGAGGAACAACTGGCACCATACCTACAGGTTGGGGAACTCCCTTCTCGTCAGTACAGAGGCAGAAAAGGATCTTGGAGTCATCATTGATGCCAAGATGAACATGGGCCAGCAGCGTGGGGATGCAGTCAGGAAGGCCAACCATACCTTGTCATGCATCCACAGATGCATCTCAAGCAGGTCCAAGGAGGTGATCCTCCCCCTCTATGCGGCACTGGTCAGGCCGCAGCTGGACTAACGCGTACAGTTCTGGGCGCCACACTTCAAGAGGGATGTGGACAACATGGAGAGGGTCAAGAGGAGGGCCACTCGCGTTATCGGGGGCAGCAGGGCAGGCCCTACGAGGAGAGGCTACAGAACCTGAACCTGTTCAGCCTCCACAAGAGAAGGCTGAGGGGGGATCTAGTGGCCTGTTAAAAACTAGTCAGAGGGGACCAGCAGGCACTGGGGGAGTCCCTGTTCCCCCGAGCATTGCCAGGAGTGACCAGGAATAACTGTCACAAGCTGGCAGAGGGTAGATTTAGGCTAGATATCAGGAGGCATTACTTCATGGTCAGGGTGGCTAGGATCTGGAACCAACTTCCAAGAGAAGTGGTGCTGGCTCCTACCCTGGGAGTCTTTAAGAGGAGGCTAGATGTACACCTTGCTGGGGTCGTTTGACCCCAGTACTCTTTCCTGCCATGGCAGGGGTTCAGACTCGATGATTTGCTCAGGTCTCTTCCGACCCTAGAAACTATGAAAAATTGGTCGTAGGGGTGCTTTAGCTAAACCTCATCAAATAAGCTTTAGCCAAAACTTCCTGCAGCCATTTTTAAATGCATGGGGGCTTAATACATGACAGTGAGCTATTTTAACTAGAGTGGCTGTACAGGAACCACTCTAATTTAAAATGCACCCCCCCCCCCGCCATCCCATCAGCATGTTTATAGGCAGCCATTGCTTTCATCTAGAGACAAACATTAAGCAGCACTGGAAGTCTACAAATACTTGCCGTCATGCTTAGAGGCAGAAGAAAGTCACCTTTCAGTAAAGGTGAAAAACATTCTGCAATTATTTGTTCTTCCATCTGTGCCTTATCTCCCTGCAGAAAATGGCTGGTATTCCACAAGTTGCTCTTTAAAGAGTAAAAGACTCTTAAGTTAATAAATGGTTTCCTCACTTTTTAAATGACTGATAGTGGGTCAAAACATGAATTCTTACTCATTATATTCAGACTGATGAAATGGAAATGTTTCCTTTGGAGGAATGGGAATAATACCAACTGTTTAGTAAGAGATGGGAAACAGTTAATTGCAGCATCTCGATCAAGAGCTCATAACAACAGTCATTTCTATCACATACGATCTGAAGACACGTTTCGTACTGGAACTAAAGTTCTGGCATGCTGTCCTGAAGTAGAAATAATTGGTAACAAGAGGAAAAAGCCAGTTACTTGAGCATTCAGGTTTGTCCTCCATATTGAGTAATGAAAGGTTATTGCATGCAATTAGCTACAACACATTTATTGCAAACATAATGAACAATATTCAGAACCCCTAACAAATTATTTGTTTCTGAAAATGCTGTTTGGCACTGTATTTTGCAGAGATTATTTAGTGTTATTCTTTGTTATCTACTGGGCTTAAAATGGAATACTCCAGCCTGTACTAGCACATCTAGCAGTTAATTTTTTTTGTCTTATAGATAATATGCTATGCAACCACAGCAGATGGCTATTCACCAGAGGTACCACTTTTGCATAAAATCATAGTAGAGGATGATAATGACAATGCCCCGTACTTTATAGCTGAGAGTTTAAAGTTTCGTGTTCCAGAGCATTCCAAGCCTGGTAAGTAAAACTTAAAAAAAATCAGCCTTCAATGGCTTACTGTTTTGAATATGTGTATTCAGAAAGAATTATGAAAGATTTTTTTAAAACGTGTTGGCTAAATTTTCAAAGGGCTTCTAGTTAGACTATATGCATATAATCCAGTTTGTATCCATTATTTTTATCTGTGCATGTATGCTAGATAAGTATCCATGGACTCGTACAAATTGTATACAGTTAAATCAGTGGACCTTTAGAAATACGCAGTACTAAAACTGCAGTGTAATACTAAAGGCCATTTGTACATGACACAAAATTGGCCTTTAATGCCCTTTTGCACCACTTTAATATGGAGCTGTTTACACATGGTGGCATAATGCACATTAAATGACTTTGGGATGCAGCAAAATAAAATGTGTCCAAGGTGTTGTAGTTTGCTACCTTACAGCTGTGGAGGGACGCACCAGGCCCTGTGCAGCTCAGGGGCTTTGTTGGCAGCTGGGCGGCAGCCCATGCAGGCAGGCTCTACTGAAGGTGTAAAAAAAAAAAAAAAAA